GTGGTGCAGCCAGAGTGCTCCTTGGAGGCCAAGATGGCCAAACTTTGTCTCTCATACTTTGAACATATTGTCAGGAGGGAACAGTCGCTAGAGAAGGATGTCATGCTGGGTAAAATGGAGGGTCAGAGAAAGAGAGGAAGACCCCCAATGAGATGGATCAGCCAGGTGGCATCATTGATGGCATCAAGTATGGCAGCGGTAGTTATGTTGGCCCAGGATAGGACATTGTGTCGTTCTGCTGTGCGTGGGTTGCTATGAATCAGTTCTGACTTGATGGCACCTGACAACAACAACAAATGGCTAGTGATAGTGAACATTTCTTCATATGTTTGTTGGCTTCCTGGATCTCCCCCTTGGTGAAGTGTCTGTTCATGTCCTGTGCCCATTTTTAAATTGGGTTATTTGTCTTTTTCCTGTAGAGGTGTTGTAGTTTGCTATATATTTTAGAAATGAGTCCTTTGTCTGATGTGTCATTTCAAAAGATTTTTTCCCATTCTGTGGGTTCCATTTTTACTCTTCTGGTGAAGTCTTTTGATTCACATAAGTTTTTAATTTTTAGTATGTCCCATTCATTTATTTTGTCTACTTTTGTTTGTGTGGTTTTAAAAATGTTTGGTAGTCTGTGTATCCCCTGAATCAGTGCCCTCACATTTGTCTCTATTTTTTCCTTGATGGCCTTCATAATTCTGGGATTCACATTTAGGACTTTAATCCATGTTGAGTTGGTTTTTCTATAAGGTATGAGGTGAAGGTCTTGTTTCAATCATTTGTATATCATTTTCCAGTTCTGCCAGCACCATCTCTTGAAGAGACATCACCTCCCCATATGATATATTTAGGTGTTTTGTCAAAAATCAGTTGGCTGTATGTGGATGGGTTAATTTTCTGGATTCTCGATTCTGTTCCATTGATCTATGTATCTTTCATTGTACCAGTACCAGGGTGTTTTGACCACTGTAGCCATGTAGTAAATTTTGAAGTTGGGGCGTGAGAGGCCTCCAACTTGTTCTTCTTCTTAAGCAGTACTTTGTTTATCCTGGATCTCTTTCCTTCCCACATAAAGTTTGCAATTGTCTTTTCCATGTCTTTGAAGAATGTTGTTAGAATCTGGATTGGGATTGCACTATATGTGTAAATTGCCAGAAACATCACTACAGAAAGCTTGTAAGTCCGTTTTCAGCCTACAACTGATTGGAATACCTTAAAGGTATTAGAAATTGCCCAGTGAAAGAGGTTTCCAGTGGAGCCTTTACATTGCACAAGACCATAGGTGGAATCCAGAACCCCATCCAGAATCATATGAGGTTGGAAATGTCCACTGAAAAGGACAGTAGACCAGCTTGGAGCAGCCAGAAGAACAGAAGATATTTTGTTAAAGAATGACCAGCAAGAAAAATCCAAAGCAATAACAGCAGTCTGATTGATTGATTCCTACAAAAACAAGTAAGCTGTTCACCCGGGATCCATCAAGGCAAGTGGTCAGGACCTCTCAGAGCAAACTCTCTTCCAAGACTGAGACTCTCAAGATGAATGCATGAGCAGGCATGTGGTCTGGCTGGTGACCATGTTGATCACCAATAAGTGGAAGAGGGGGAAAAAACAGCAATGAAGTTGCAAACTAAGTCTGACCACTTTCAATAGACACCTATGAACCCATGTGGAGATCTGGATGGCCAGCAGTACAGCAAAACCCGGGGACTCCTGGGCCCAGAGGCAGTGACATGGCCACAGAGAACTATAGCGGAGCGTGAAGCATCCAGCTGATAAGAAGTGATGGAGATGCACAAGAACACCCATGCTTGCAGATAGTACCCACAGATAGCCATCAAAGCCTGGATGATCAGAACTTGACTAGCAGAAGAAAGAAGAGGGAGAAAAAAAAAGAGTAACCTGATACAATTTGATGAACTTTACCTATACTTATGGATGTAATAGTTCAAAAAAGGGAACAAATCTTTACAGTGAGAATCACTCCCACCCCCTCAGTACACAGTGTTGACAGGGATGGGCAACTTTAGACATTGGCTAATTGGCTACCCAAAATGGGGGAGGGGTTACAACGGCAAGAAGTGACTGGCTTACAAGCTTTCAAGAGGGAGCCTAGTTCCAGACAGGGTGGGGGAAGGTAGAATCTTCATTGAAAGATTTCTAATCTGTTGGGATTGAGCTGGTAAAAGGAAATGGGGATAAGACTCTAGTCTTACAATAGTGAATAATTGCCATCAGGACTGACTGTGAGGGCTAGGAAATATAGAGGTAGATGTTTTTGACAAAAGGAGGGAAGTGATTGATTTTGAAGCCCAGGAGCAGAGGTCTCTGGGACCATCAAATGAGAAGAGTGGAGAGCGGGACCCTACCCAGAAAGGCAGTGACGCCAGAGATGGAGACAGAGAAGATGATGTGGACAGATGGAGCGTCTGGGGACACTGGACTCAGAGAGGGAGAGGGGCTGTGTGTTGACAGCCGGGGGTGGCCTGTGGTGTGTACCCTTTGGTTATTTGATGATACATGGAGGGGACTGTAATCATTGCAATGAAACAAAATATGATAAGATGAATGTAAAACTGATGTTCTTACATGTAAACCTCAATAAAAATTTATGAAAAAATTAAATGGAACAGGCAGGGACTACAAAAAAGAGTACAATAACTGAAAAGAGAAAAAGAGGGACAGGAAAATGGAGCTGTAGGAGGGAAATTAAAAGGAAGAAATATAAATAAAAATAGTCCTTAGAAAAACCAGGGGAGGAGGGAAAATGAAATAAAGAGAAAGAGAGTTGTTGCTGTTAAGTGCCATTGAGTCGGTTCCAGCTCATGGGAACCCTGTGTAGGGTTTCCAAGGAGCGACTGGTAAGCTTGAACCACTGACCTGCGACTCAAACCGACATCATAGTCCAGCATATTAAGTCACAGTGCCACATAAAGAGAGTAGTAAAAAGATCAAAAGGGGAAAATAGTGGAAGAGAGGAAATGAAAGACTGAAGAAAAGAAGGGGAAAAAAGGAGATACAGGAAGAATAAAATTCAAGGGAATGGAAAGAGGAGAAGAAAGAATAAACAACAAAAACAAAAGAATGAAACAACAGAAGAAAAAAAAACAAACCCAACAAACCCAAAACAAAACAAAAAAACCCCAGAGTAGCTGTTGGGCCCAGAGAGAAGAAAAGAAAACTCAGAGGGGGTAGGGCACTCCTGCAATTCAGGGAGCTTGTGAGGTAGGTGTAGGAGAGGTGTGACAGCCGAGGTCCTAGGAGGTCCTAGATGGAGTGCCTACAGGCCTCAGTGTTATCTGTGCTTGGAGCACTCAATCTGGAAGTAGTCCATACAGGCCTTCAATGAAGCTGGTTTCAGTGTCTGTTAGGACCACAGGGTAGATGGTCTGGTGATTCCATGGGTTCTGTAGATCCTAAGCCAAGCCCACCTGAATTCAAACACCAAACTGGTGCACCAAGTGGCATAGCTGGGCTCCACCTCACAGTGGAACTCCTGGTGAGCAGGGGCTTTGCTGGGAGTAGATGAGGTTGAGAACTGACTACCCCTCTGGTCACCAGCAGAGCATGGGGGACAAAGAAGGAATTGCACTTTTCCCGTCAACTATGTGAATCTGTTCTGCCAAGATACCTTCTGTCAGCAAAGCTACTTACAGAAATTCATGGTGGTCGTGCCACATCTGAACAACTGCTCACCAGTCAGGCTCCCTCTCTCACTGTCCCTGCTCAGTTTCTACTCCCAGCAAGCACTCAGTCCACCCCTCTAACCTTTCCTCTGAAGTTCAGGGCTTCAGGATTTTCCTCTGTGTCTGTTTTATTTGGTCTCTCCTGTCTTTGTTGTAGAGCAAGAGTGGGAAACGTCCAACCCCACTGGTTGTATAAGGCCCATGAAATCGTTTTTTAGGCCTTGTCAAGGCAACCACAGTTCCAGCCATCACGTTGTTTTTTGTTGTTAAATGTTGTCTAGTCAGTTCTGACTCATAGCAACACTATAGGGTTTCTGAGGAGCCGACCATGTGGTTCACAGTCCAGTGCAGATCCTACAGCACTTCACCAAGAATCTAGCCATCACATTGTTGTTGTTGTTGTCGTTGTAAGTCATTTCCAACTCATAGCGACTATGTATAGGGTTTCCAAGGAGCATCTGGTGAGCTTGAACCTCCAACTGTTCAAAGTGACTTTGCAGCCCAGTGCATTAACCTGCAGCACCACACAAGTTTGGTCAAATAGAGCAACCTAACTTTTAAGTTGATAATTTTGTGTGGCCCATGAGTGATGTTAAAAATGTTGGCAGATTAAAAAGGTTCCCCACCCCTGTTGTAGAGGGCCTGTGTAGTGGGTCTGCACTTCTTACTGGAAGTCTCTACATGTAGTTTGGTTAGGCATTTAAAATGGAGGTATTGACTTCACTTGCTTATAATTTCTGTAACCCTTACTACTCTCATTCCTGAGGTAAACAAGATACAAGATTTTAAAAAAATTCAACAGCAAGGCTAGTGATGTGATCCCTTATTTGTTGCATGCTTTTTGGTGCTATTAATAATGGCCACTGTTTGTGGAATGCCCATTTTGTGCCAAACACCTTGTGTAAATCATCTTATGTAACTCTCACAATGTTCTTCTAAGAAGGACAATAGTTACTCTCTTTTTAACAAATATTTGAATTATTTAAACCAGTAACAAGCACTATTCCAGGATTAACAATGTAAAGGAAAACAGAAAATGAAGCAAAACAAAAAAACAGACAAATAAACCCAAAAGATCCCAAGCAAGTTTCTTGTCTCATGTCGCTTACGCCTTAGTCAGGGAAGACTGTAAAAGAAAATAGCAATTATATGCCATGTCAGCAGATGATAAGAACAATGGCAAAAATAAATAAAATAGAGCCGAGTATGTTGACTAGCCGATGGAGGGTGTGGGATCTTTTGTTGGGAAGGCCTCTCTACCAATGTTGCATCTGTGCATGGATCGGAAAGAGGAAGAAGATGAGACATGCAGATTTCAGGAGAAGGGTGTCTAGCTAGAGAACAGGACAAAGGCTTTGAGGTGACCTGTCTGTTCATGGCTGGAGAAGAATGAACAAGGGATAGTAGTAGGGATGGAGTTGGGAAGGGACTAAGAGCATGTCACATGGGGTTGTTAGGCCATTATGAGGACAGCTGGCTTTTACTGAGTGAAAGTAGCGGCCAGAGGCTCTCAGCTTAAAGGGTTTCCCTGTTGAGTGTAAACCACAGGGAAATGAAAAGGTAGACAGGAAGACTAATAGAAGGAATTCATCAGAGGGAGTTTCAAAAACTTCATGGGAAAATTCTCTTTTTATTGCATTTTTCCATGAACTTTTTGAAGCTCCTTTGTATTTCTGTGGTGAGTAATAATCAGAGAAAAGCAGAAAGCCTAGTCTGTCTTAGAATCAGCTCTTATCCTCGTGTCTGTTTCTCTGTGCTAGTTTCTCCCATGGCCATCTGCCCTCAGTCCTGTATAGGCTTTAAAGATGGCCTCTGGAGTCAACTGTACTGCCTAGCTGGTCTTACCAACTGTGTCTCTAGACCTGGCCATTGTAGGCCCAAACTATACTGGTTCTTAGCCCTGTCTATCTCAAGCTGGCCCAGCCCTGCTCCACTGATCTGCCCATTGTTTCACCTATTCTAAGAAAGTGCAGAGGCAGAAGAAACTTGCATTTGTTGGAACAAAAAGGAAGCACTGAAGTCCTGGTGTGCTGTAGAATAAAGTACTGGACTACAAGGTCGGTTTGAACTGGAAGGTTAGTGGTTCAAATTCACCAGCTGCTCCTTGGAAACCCTATACAGGGTCACAATGACTCACAACCGACTCACAGCACTTAACAATAACAACAAGAGGGAGCACTGACCTAAGGCTTCTAGAGTGACTATTTCAAAGGCTGCTCATAGGTGATTTGCAAACAATTATTCAGTGTGATTGAATAGTTTTAGAAACGACTGAGTTAGACCAAGTTACACAGATTTTAGTAGAGTAGGTGCACTGTGAGTCTCGCAGAGAGACTTGGAGTACATAGTCCTTCTCTGACTTAGTTATGTCTGACTATCTCCAGATGTCCCATAGGAGTGTTCTATGATGTGTGAGTTTACTTTAGGCAAGGCCCTAGAAGGCAAAGATCAGGGTCAAATACAGTTAGGTACCGTGCAGGAGCTATAGACAAGTCCAGTATATCCAGAATGCATTGAAAACCAGTTTATATCTTGTCTGTATTTGAAGACTACAATTTTCAAATTGATTTTTTTCTTTAAAAAATTACTTTGAATTTCTTTCATAAGTAAGCATAAGATTTTAAAGTCCTGCTAGCACTTTGCCATTTAGTTTAAGGTTGTGCCACTTAGCACTTGGATATTCATGTGTTGTGTACAAAAATACAGATCCTTCTTCATCAAGCTGTTTACATAAGAAGCCTTCATTTTGTGTGTGTGTGTGTGTATGGAGTGAAAGTTTACAGGGAAGATCATCAGTTTTACATTCAACAAATCATATATTTTGTTTCATTACCATGATTATAATCCCCTCCACTTACCATCAGTTAACAGTATTTCTCTCTATTCATTTTAGCTCGCTCTCTCTCTCTCTCTTTTTTTTTTTTTTTTAACATTCAGTCATATATAATAATTTACACCACCAAAGGGTACATTCTTCAAGTCTGCCTCCTGGCCACCAGCTCTCAGTCCCTCTTTTTCCATGAATCTAGGGTCCTCAGCTACTCCCTCTCTCCATGTCCCCATCTGTGCCTCCATCTCGTGTTGCTGCTTTTCTGGATAAGGTCTCACATTCACCTTAGGCTCTTCTCCCTTGAAGTTCCTAGGGTCCTCTGTTTCTGGACTGTAAGATTAACTACTCCCTTTACAATAGTGACAGTCGCAATTAGTCATGATAACAATTACTCACTATTGAATCATAAGAATCGTATCCTCATCTCTTTTTACTAGACCCGTCTAGACAACATGAAAACTATTCAGTGGGGACTCTATCTTTCCCCCAACACTTTTTTTCTTCTTTAAAGTTTTGATTGTGAATTGAGTGATAGTTTACATGGGGGAATATCAGTTCATTTCATTGCACTGATTATAATGAAAGCCTTCATTTTTAATACTCAGTATTGTTTATGCTCATCTGTTAATGTTTCTCTCTAGGAAAATAGGAAACTCTTCAAAGCCAATCCTTGTCTGGATACTTGGAAGATTTATGTAGAATTCATCGATGACATCGTGGTAGAAGGCTTTTTTCAAGCTATAATGCATGACTTGGATTTCTTTCTGATAAATACAGAGAAACAATGGAAACCTGTACCATTTTTTCAAGTACAAATGATCCTCATGCCTCCTGAGATTGTGTTTAAGCCTTCCTTAGAAAGAGATGCTGGTGATGGTCTCTATGACCTGGTAGAAGAAATGCTATGCAATAGCTTTAGAATGTCTGCCCACATGCAGAGAGTAGCATCCCATCTGGAAATAGCAAATTATCAGGTATTTTCTTTCTTTTTTTTTTTTTTTTTTTTTCAGGTATTTTATTTCTAAGTAGGTATAACTTAAAAAAAAAATTGTGAGCAATATTTATATAAGAAAACATTTGCCAATTTAACCATTTTTTGCATAATTATTCAGTGACATTAAATGTATTTATGCTGTGCGGTTATTGTCACTGTCTTTTTCCTGAAAGATTCCATCACCATTAACAAAAGCTCAGTGCCTCCACACAGTGAGGCCCTCCTCTCCCTGTCCTGGTGTGCTTTGTAGCATCAACACTGCACTGCTAACCACAAGGTCACTTCTTCAAACCCACCGGCTTCTCCTAGGAAACCCTTTACAGGGTTGCTATGATTTGGAACCGACTCCACAGCACTTAGCAACAACAACCTCTAATAAGCTTTGGTTGTGATCTGTTTGTGTATGTAAATAATTATTAGCTTTTATATTAACTATTCAAAAATAATCTGGTGATGGGAAGCACAAGGAACAGAGAAGTTGGGAAAAAATAACATTTTTAATTTTGATTTTGTTTAAAGGATTTTTCCCTTGAACAATTTCCCAGATAATAGTATTGTTCAAAAAATTGCTAGAGCAAGGCTGATTTCAGTGAGTGCCTGGTTTTCCTCTCATTCAGATTGATATGGATAACATGCTAGGCCTGGTAGAAGCCAGGCAGGAGATAATGAACAGAGTAGCGGATGTCATCAAAAAGGTCTTAGACTTCAGAAATACCCTGGAGACCTACGCTTACCTCTGGGTGGATGAGCGAGCTGAATTCATGAAGCATTTTCTCCTGTATGGCCATACTGTAACATCAGAGGAAATGGATGCTCATGCAAATGAGGAAATTCCTGAGCAGCCGCCAACTATTGAGCAATTCAAAGAACAGGTAAGGGAAATGTTTGCATGTGATGTAGTTACTGACTTTGGATTAAGTTGTGTAGTTACTGGGGATTCTTTTGTTTTTTTGTTTTCCTTTTTCTATTTACAGATTGACACTTACGAAGCCTTGTATGTTCAGATGAGCAAATTTGATGACTTCAGAGTCTTTGATAGTTGGTTCAAGGTGGACATGAAACCTTTCAAAGTGAGCTTGCTAAGCATCATCAAGAAATGGAGCTGGATGTTTCAGGAGCACCTTTTAAGATTTGTCATCGACAGGTAGCCTTTTGTACTTTGGTATTTGGGATCTTTAATTTCTATTACTTTATTGTTGTTGTTGTTTTTAAGTTGTGAGATGTTAAGAGCATTATAATACAGATGAACAATGTTTCAGGAGGTAAATAATGAAATTAAGTTTCCATCAGAAGCTTTACATGCTAAGGGTTTTGATGTGCTTAATTTATGCCTGTATATACTATTGTTTATGTACATACTATTGTTTGTGTAAACATATGTCTATTTAATAGCCTGAATGAGCTACAAGAATTTATAAAGGAGACAGATGTAGGACTTCAAAAAGAGTCAAATGAAGGTGGTCACGATGGTTTGGTTGACATCATGGGGCATCTTCTGGCTGTGAGGAGTCGACAGAGAGCTACTGATGAACTCTTTGAACCACTAAAAGAAACCATCATGCTCTTGGAAAGCTATGGACAGAAGATGCCAGAACAAGTCTACTTTCAGCTGGAGGTAAGTGTGGAGGCGAAATAATGATCATTGCCATATGCTGAGCACCTCCGTTAGCCAAGCATATTACATGCACACTCTGATTACATCTTCATAGCAACCTGCATGATGATGTTGTGAAGTGCTGTCGAGTCAATTGCGACCCTGTATAGGGTTTCCAAGGAGCAGCTGGTGAGCTTGAACCACCAACCTTGCAGTTCAAACGACTTTGCAGTCTGATGCATTAGCCCACCAGTGCCACATCAGGACTCCCACAATCTGTATACTAGACACTCATGTTTTCATTTTACAGGCTAGGAATCTGAAGCTTAAAGAGATTTAATAATGTTGTCATGGTCCCACAAGTAGTACAGCTAACCAACACTCACTCTAGATGCGTTTCATGCCAACATACTTACTCTTTAGTTAGTATGTTGTTTGCTTGAAGGTATTTAGTAATAGCCTCTAAATTGAAACAAGTTACTTAACTTTTCAGTTTTCAGAACTTCTTATGTAAAATATCCTTTAAGATCTCTCTCTCTCTCTCTCTCAATGTTTGTTTGTTTCTACTTTTGCCACCACTTTCACATATGAAATATGCCAACACTCCTTTTAATTAAGCACTGCCTGTCAGTTGAGAAGAAGCCTAGTCTTAGGAAACAGATCATGGCCATGTTAATAAAGAAAACCTGATTCGGATTGAATGACAAAATCACTGTATTTCCTAAACAGGGATAGCTATGCTCTCATCCTGTCTTCATACTCTGCTGAACCTGGTGGCTGCTATGGGCCAAATGAAGAACAGAGTCCTTAATATCTAACTGAAACTCATGAACAGTGACCTCACAGCTGAGTGTCTGTTCCCACACCCATATTGAAGTTCTACAGGTAGTTTATATATGTACACCATTCACCAGCTTCCAGGCTGTGTTTCCATTTAAACTTCCATGTATGATCAATGGACACATCAACCAAAAAATATTGATTGGATCCTATTTAAGTGATCTGAGTTTGGAACTCAGCCTTAGATATTTCAAGTATTGTACAAGTCCATCTTGTTTGCCAGTCTTGACAAGTTACTTAGCTTTTCAGTTTTCAGAATTTCTTAGGTAAAATATCCTTTAAGATCTCATTTTCTTCTTTTTTAAAAAAATTCTCTATATTTGAAATCAAGGAGCTCTGGTAGCAGAGTGGTTATGAGTCGGGCTGCTGATCTCATGGTCAGCAGTTCGAAACTGCCAGTGGCTCCATGGGACAAAGATAAGGCTTTCTGGTCCCTAAAGATTTATAGCCTTGGAAACCCTATATGGGGTCACTATGATTCGGAACTGACTCCACGGCACAGAACCACCATCACTATACTTGCAATCGCCAATAAACCTTTTTTGCTGTTTTTTTTTTTTTCTTTTTTTGATTGAGGTGAATTTTCAGTTCACATAATGTAAAAGTGACCATTTAAAAAGTATGCAAGTCAATAGCCTTTAGTACAACTAGTTCCCAGACATTTTCTATCACCTTAGAGGACAGTTCAACCCCATTAAGCAGTCACTTGTGTTCCCATCCTCCAAACCCCTGGCAAATACCTCTCTGCTTTCTGTCTCAATGAATTTACTTATTTGCATTCATCATATAAATGAAAAAGTACAATATTTATGGATGGGTTCTTTCACTTGGCATACTAATTTTGTAGTTTAGCCATATAATTCCATTATAGGAGTGTATACCATATTTTGTTTGTTCATTCATCTATTGGTAAGGGATTTAGTTTGTTTTTTCATCTGTTGGCTACTATAAATTGTTCTGTTAAGAATAATTGTGTTTAAGTATTTGTTTGAGGCCCTGTTTTCAGTTATTTTTACTAGAAGTGGAATTGCTGGGCTACATGGTAGTTCTCTACTCATCTTTTCTGAAGACTAACCAAACTATTTTACATGACAACTGTACCATTTTACATGCGCCCACCCCCCAGTAATATAGGAAGATTCCAGTTGTTCCAAATCTTTGCTAACATTGTTTACTTGTTTATTCTGTTTGTTTTTTGTGTTTTAATTAAAGTTATCACTTTATTAGTATAATAGTGTACACCCAATAGATGTAAACTGCTATCTCATTGTGGTTTTGACTGGTATTTCCCCAATGACTAATAACAGTAAACACTTTTTTAATGTGATTTTTGGCCATTTATATGAGAGAAAGTAAAAAAGTATGTTATAAAATCATAGACACCTTTATAAAACAAAAATATTAAAATGTGAAGCTATTATTTCTTGAACTGTTCTTCCAACAATAGGGAATATCACTGTTCCATAGGATAAGCACTGGTCTGCAAATCACCAGGTTGGTAGCTCAAGCCCATCAGTTACTCCAAGGGAGAAAGCTGAGGCTTTCTGCTCCTGCAAAGATTTAAAACCTCGGAAATCCTATCCAGGGTCGGTATGAGCTGGACCCAACTCAATGGTACTTGGCAGCAACATCTAGGTCAATGCTGAAGACAGTGTTTCCATCTCATAGACTGTCCCCAAAGAATCCTGTGCTCTTTAATTTACACCACATCAAAACAGTAATTGTGGCATCCTCAAGGGTCCCTTTTCATTGTTCTCTGGGAAACAAAACAAAAAAGTCTTAAGGGGGCAAGATCAGTGCAATGTTGTTGTTGTTATGTGCCGTCGAGTCGGTTCCGACCCATAGCGACCCTGTACAGGGTTTCCGAGGGTGTAAATCTTTACGGGAGTAGAAAGCCTCGTCTTTCTCCCGCGGAGCGGCTGGTAGTTTCGAGTCGCTGACCTTAAGGTTCGCAGCCCGATTCATAACCACTACGCTACCAGAGCCAACAAAATTCTCACAGGACAGCCCTGGATATCGTGAAGAATGAGCATAGTGCATTGTCATGATGGGAAAAATACTCCTTGAAACAACTTTTCTGGCCCTTTTACATTGAAGCAGTTTTCCATTTTCTTAAAACTTCTTCATAATAAACTCCTGTGATCAAATTGTGCCCTTCAAGAAAATCCATCAAGATCATTCCTTTGGAATAACTAAAACCAACCACCATAATCCTCTTTGTCTTAAATTAAACCAGCCCAGTAGATTTCTTCGGAAGTCAATATTTTGGTCAGAGCTTCTTTTTGGCAATACCCTAAGGAAATGAACACAAGTGTATTGCTGAAAGAAGTTGTCTGCAGCCATCCAGTGATCATAGAAATATGTTAAACACATTTTATTTTAAATCAACCCTAGTAGCAATATATATATATATACTTACCTTCATATATCTTCTTGGGAGAAATGTCTGGTCAAGCCCTTTGGCTATTTTTCAGTTGGTTATTTATCTTTTTGTTGAGCTGTGATTTTCTTCCTATGTCCTGGGAAGTGAACCCTTAATCAGATACATGGTTTGCAAATATTTTTCCCACTTTGGGGGTTTCTTTTCACTCTCTTGATAGTATCTTTTGATGCACAAAAGTTTTCAATTTTAATTAAGTGTGACTCGATGGCTCGTAACAAGAAGAGCTTCTCTACTTTTCTGTTGTTGCCTGTGCTTTTGGTGGTATACCACTTAGGAAACCATTGTCGACTTCAGTCATTTAGATTGGATTATTTTAATTAAGGTGATTTATGATACTACTGCTTCTCCTAATTTACTATTAGCTGCTGTAATATTTTCCATATACTCATCTGTGCTTGGGTTTATGCTGAAAAACACTTAGGTGGGTCCATGCCTACCAAGAGTTTAATATGATTTCCTCAAAGTCATAGGACTGTACCACCAGCAAGATGGTCTCTTGATACAATGTCTTTTCAGTCTGTTGCCTCCTGTTAAACTCATTTTAATTCAGTCCTGTTTCTTCTTACCTCAATCACAGCAATAATTTCTTCTCTCATTTTTCCTCATACCGCATCGACCACATACTCGACAGCTAGATGGGACTCTCAAATCTACAAGTGTGACCAAGACCCTCCTTCCCTGCTCAAAATCAAAAGCAACTGCCCTTATCCTCCTAATATTGGCCAATTTCCATAATAGCGCACACTGACCCTTGCCACTGGTAGCCTAACCTCACAAGATCTCAAGGGATTTTACTCTAATCTCTGCTTGTTGAAATCCATTCACTCCTTCAGCCTCAGATTCAATTACTTCTTTAATGAGTAGATTGTATCAGAGAAACTCTGAAAAGCATAGGATCTTGGTCAGTTTGGATCACTAGGTCAGCTGTTCAGACCCACCATCTGCTCCTCAGAAACCCTAAACAGGCTCACTGTGAGTTGGAACTGACTGGACGGTACTTAACAATAACAATAAATATAAAGCAGGCAACTGCAGGCCTGATGTGAACGCAGAGGGTCAAGGGGCTTTAGCCCCCATATGTGAGCTGTCTCTGGTTTACAGAACTGGCCCCTGCAGTAACTTCCTGGGATATTTACTTTCCTGGTGTAGGATTGGAAACCCAAGTGTCAGTGTCTAGATGAGGATGCAGAAACTTGCTGAGATAGAGAGGAAAGGCACAGATGGAAGAACAATTGGGTTTCAAGACCAGCCATAGCACCAGGTTGCTTCCCTAGTGTTCTTGATTTTATAACACGTAGACCTTCTGATGGAAATCAACACATTTGTCATGTCCTCTCATTCACTCTGGCAGATTATAAAACCATTTAAGTCACTGAATGTGCTTTACCTTAACCTCTTGTACAACCTAGAGGAGTTCCGTGTGCCCTAGGCACATTGCACTCTTTATAATGAGCAGTTTCTGAATCAGTCATCAAATATTTATTGAGAGTTACTAAACAGTCATTGGGACCTTTGGTTTTGCACTTCAGCCACCAGGTAGAATGCTGTGGTGTTGTATGACACAGATGACCATAGAAACAATACTTTGTCAATGTGCATACCCGGAATGCTTTTCAACAGTTAATATGTGCAACTGGTCTGCAAAGAAAACAAGTTGCCTTCACTCTGTTTTCATTGTAGGTAGGAAGAGCAGAGTTGAGTTGCTACTTGGGCTATTTATTGCTTCTTTTGTCCTATATCAAGTAGGAATTAACCTTTATTTCCCTTTGCCCTTCTAACTTCAGAAATTCAAGTCATCTAAATAAGCTATCCTGAGCACGCAGAGTCTCCATTAAGAAAGAACAGACTCAGTCAGAGATTTGGAGGCTAGAGGAAAGCAGGAAGATGAGAATAATTCACATTTTTATCTTAACTATACCAGATGCAAAGCATATCTTTTCACACTATGTTAACTAACTAAGCATGGCTTTCTTCAGCTTCCAGTTACTTCTGTTGTTTGTTATTGTTGTCGAGTCAATTCCGACTTTTAGCGATCCCATGTGTGCAGAACAACATTGTTTCCAGGGTTTTCAAGGTTGTACCAGATCATCAGGCCTGTCTTCCCCAAACCCCTAGGAGTAGGAGGTTACAGTGCTAACCTTTCCATTAGTAGTTGAGTATCTAACTGTACCACCTATGAATTCTCTCTAGCTGCTATAGGTCAGCAAAGTGGTTTCCAGAGTTCTTTAATTGTTTTCTTTCAGCAGCAAAAACAATTGGGAAAGGTGGGATCCTTATTTTGAAAGGATTTTTGTCTGTTCTGAGATGAAACTGACTCTTGGTGTATGTTTGGCAGATACGAATACAGAGGTGCCAGGGGGTCAATCTATATTTCAGCCTGCCTCTAAGACTTCATCTCTTCAATCTTTTATGGTTAAATGCCTAATTTTCTGTAAGAATAAAAGGATGCCATGGGTTAGTGTAAAGAAAGTATAATTCTTGAATTTCATAGGGTTGATTTCTTTGTGGAATTGTAATACTTTCCTATTTTGCCTGTTTGTTTCTGTAGGAATTACCTGAAAGATGGGAAATTACCAAAAAGATTGCTGCAACTGTCAGACATGAAGTTTCTCCTCTCCAAAATGCAGAGGTCACTCGTATACGAAAGAAATGCGTTTTGTTTGATGTAAGCTAGTTACCTGGTTGTTTTTGTTTTGTTCTTTGGAGAAGAGTTTTATAAATATAATTGAAGCTGTTTATTGGAGATTCACCTCCTATTTTCTTTATTCTGTGATCAGGCAAAACAGTCCGAGTTCAGAGAAAGATTTAGATGCTATGCTCCTCTTGACTTCAATGCAGAGAATCCATATACAATGCTTGACAAGGTAATGGAGATTTCAAATATTGCATGTTATTGTTGGTATTTTAGAAAATATGCTGAGACTTCTGTATCTTACCATACTTTTGCCACTGGTTATAGAAATTGACAGTTAACTATTTAAATCCAAGTATGCACAACTTTTCACAAGTAAATTATATAGAGGGCTAAGTCATGTTTTCCAAAACCACCATAATTATCAAAATGATCATACTAGTGAGGCATTGTAAGGAGTTCTGGTAGTGCAGTGGTTACAAGTCAGGCTGCTAACCTCAAGGTCAGCAGTTCGAAACTACCAGCAATTCCACGGGAAAAAGATGGGGCTTTCTGCTCCCGTAAAGATTTACAGCCTCGGAAACCTGGTACAGGGTTGCTGTGGGTTGAACTGACTCCATGGTACACCACCACCGCCAAAAGAACAAACAAATCTGTGTTGGGGGAAGTATAGCCAGAGTGCTCTAGGATGGCCAGACTTCATCTCTCATACTTCAGACATATTATCAGGAGGGACCTGTCCCTGCAGAAGGACATCATGTTTGGCAAAGTGGAGGGTCATGGAAAAAGAGGAAGACCCCTTTTTGAGATGGATTGGCACAGTGGCAGCAGCAATAATTATGAGGTTAGCGCAGGACCAGGCAGTGTTTCGTTCTGTTGTGCATACGGTCACTATGAATCGGTGCCAACTCAACAGCATCTAACAACAACAACAAGTGAATACAACAACTACTCTTTTGTGGAGTCCTGTTTGAACTGCAAGGTCAGTGATTCAACCTCACCAGCTGTTCCTTGGAAACACTATATTGGGTCACTATGGGTCAGAATCAACTTGACGGTACTTAAACAACAACTATTTTTGTGTTTTGTTTTAGATCCAAACACTTCATAGTGAGACACAATTGTCAGAAAACACTAAGTAAATTCAAACTCTGTGTTTAACAAGTAAAAGTATTCTTTTATCATTAAAGATTGATTTAAAAAGAAATCCAAAGCATTGTCTCAGATTAAAACCTTCAGGAAGTATGAGTGTATGTGTTTATATTTGACATTATTATATTATTTACTATGCAACTATATAGCTATGTGTGTATACAAATATGAATGTATATGCATCTCTCTATATGTGTGTTGGTACACATGTACACATACATATATATATACACACACATACTTAATCTGTATGCAGAACCATATTTGTAACCAGTTAACTGTTTTTTTATTGTAATAAGAGATATATAAAAAACATGCTGCCATTTTTAATCATGTGACTCATTCACACTGAATTCCACCCAACATGCTGTACAACCATCGCCATTGTTTATTTTAAAAAGTTTTTCATCAACTCAGACAGCATCTCAGTGCCCCTTCAAGCAGTAGTTCTCTGTTCCTCCCTCCCCTCATCCTTGGTAATCATTAATATACTTTTTTTCTTCTTCCCCCACTGCTCTTCTTCCTTTCTTTTTTAACTGCCTTCTTGGTCACACAAGTTAACATGTGTTTACCTTCAAGCCAGTAAATAATTCTCCCTTACCTCCCACTCCTGGTAACCATCATAGAATGCTTGTTTGAGCATGAAAACCATGTATCATACAATATTTGCCCTTCTGTGATTGACTGATTTCATTCAGCATAATGTCCTCCAGGTTCTTCCGTGCTATAAGGTGTTTCACAGATTCATCATTATTCCTCAATGTTGCGTAGTATTGCCGTGTGTGTGTGTGTGTGTGTGTGTGTGTGTGTGTATGTTCCAAAGTTTATTTAATCATTCTTCTGTAAATGGGCTTTTAGGCTCTCTCCATCTTTTTGCTGTTGTAAATAATGCTACATTGAACATGGGTGCGCATATACATTCGCGTCACAACTGTTATTTTTGATTTGCATCTTTCTAATGACTGATGGGAGTCCTGGTGTGGCACTGTGTGTTAATGCACTGGACTGCAAAGTTGTTTAAACAGCATGGTCGGCGGTTCAAGCTCACCAGCCGCTTGGAAACCCTATACAGGCTTGCTCTGAGTTGGAACCTACTTGACAGCACTTATGACAATAACAACAATGAGTAATGATCTTGAGCATTTCTTCATATGTTTGTTGGCCATCTATTTTTAAAGCACTTATAGATGTCTAGGGGGCCTTGTAGTGTAGTGGATTATGAGCTGGGCTGTTAACCTTAAGGTCAGTAGTTTGAATCTATGAGTTGCTCTGTGACTTTTCTGCTCCCATAAAGATTTACAGCCTCAGAAACCCTTACAGGGTCGCTATGAGTCGGAATCAACTCCATGGCAGACAGCCACTATTGTATGTCAAGGATTTTACTCAGCATATTTGCTTAAAATGTACCTATGATTACTCTTCCTATTTCAAGTAAATTGTAGCATAATTAAATAACTTCTTGGAGGTTGCAGTAACAGAACTAGAAAATCAAATACATAATTCTGATTTTTTTTTTTTTTAATTTCAGAACTTCAACCATTGTACTGTTTTCCATGTGATACTTGGCTAATAACTTTTACCGTATTAAGGACAGTCCATAATTTATCTTTAACCTTGGACAAGCGTATTATTGTGTCATTCTATCCTAGTCTTGAGTGAATTACTTAATATGAGAATGAATATAGTGAGCAAAGTATCCCAAATGATGAATAAAATGTCACCTACATTAGACTAAAAAAGATATTTAAAATTTTTATTGGGAAGACTATCTTTTTTTTTTTTCCCTTTTCCCTGGGAGTTCTGAACCTAGCAGCCAAAATGAGAAAATGACTTTCTAAAGGTTAGATTCAAGACCTGGGAATCTGTCTGATTCTTCATATAAATTGCCTTGAATTTATTCCTGTTTTAACTTTATGCTAGAAAGTCTTTATTCCCTAGACTATAATAAAACATCTATATAACACAGATCTTTTCTCTCTAAAGTTTAGAACACCACTCATTATCATAAAGTCTTCTCTTTTAGTTGGTGAAAGAGTTGGTTAGTATATTGTTGTTGTTAAGTGTCATCGAGTCGGTTCCGACCCATAGCGACCCTGTACAGGGTTTCCGAGGGTGTAAATCTTTATGGGAGTAGAAAGCCTCATCTTTCTCCCGCGGAGTGACTGGTAGTTTCGAACCGCTGACCTTAAGGTTCGCAGCCCGATTCGTAACCACTGTGCTACCAGAGATTCGTGAAAGGGTGTAGATTAGAATGTACTCATTAGATGATGGATTTTCCAAGGTTACATCTAATTGCAGGTGGTCTACACTGATTGTAGATGGAAAGATGTTTTCCTTGACTAACCAACATGCTGCTGCTTGTCAACAGCTGTATAGTTAACATCTGTTAAATCTTCCTGTTTTCATTCTGTGCTATATAACAGCACAGTTACACATTTAACAATCAGAGATAATTATAGTTACAGATTGTGCTGAGAAGTCTTTGGAATATAGTAGGACTGGGTTAGCTTTCTCTTGAATTTCTTTTCTTAGAGTGCTTGTTCAGAAGCCATATCTAATAATTATCTTTATTAATGTTTTATTGTGAATTATGTGATAGTTTACATGGGAGAACATTAGTTTTACATTCATCCTATCGTAGATCGTTTCATTGCCATTGTTACAAGCCCCTCCATGCATCATCAACCAGCCAAAGGGTATACCCTACAAGCCTGCCCCCCAGGTCATCAGCACACAGTCCCTTTCCCTCTCTGGGTCTAGAGTCCCCAGCTGCCCCATCTCTCCACGTCATCATCTCTGCCTCCATCTCTGGTGTCACTGCTTCTCTGGGTAGGGTCCTGCACTCCTCTCTTCTCCCTTGATGGTCCCAGGGACCTCCACTTCTAGACTGCAAAGTTAATCATTCCCCTCCTTGCTGCAAAACATCTACCTTTACATTTTTAACCCTCACAATCAGTCCTGGTAACAATTATTCGCTATTGTATCACAGGAGACCTATCTGCGTTTCCTTTCATCAGCCCTGCCTTGGCAAATTGGATACTACTCAGTGGAGATTCTACCTTCCTCCATGCCCTGTGGATCTAGGTTCTCTCTTGAAAGCTTGTAAGCCAGTCACTTCTTGCCTTTGTAGCCCCCCCCCCCATTTTGTAATAATTATCTTTTGAGACTTCTTGCATTTGTAGCCCCCCATTTTTTGGTAATAATTATCTTTTGAGACTACCAATATCATGTGTTTGCTTATTTTGGGCTGGTATGGTAGGGCCTCATGCTCAAGCCAACTCACTCCCTACACAAGATAGAAACCATTGACTTTCTAGGAATAAGGGCAATGCTGTTGTGCATCTCTCTTGGGAAAGTTGCATTATGTGCTGTTGTCTCTTCATAGGTCAGGATACAGTACCCTGGGAGCTCTGGTGGTGCTGTGGATTAGATATTGGGCTGAGGACCACAAGAATGGCAGTTCAAACTACCAGATGCTCCTTGGGAGAAGGATGAGGTTGTTTGCTCTTGTAAAGATTTAGAGTATTGGAATTTCTATATTGGGTCACTGTGAGTCAGAATTAACTCGGTGGTGGGTGTGGTTTTGGTTTGGGGGATATATTAAGGAGTCCTGGTGACTTGGTGGTTAAACACTTAGCTTATAGCCACATGGCCTGCAGTTTGAATCCATCAGTGTCTCCATGAGAGAGAGAGATGGCGCTCGACTTAGTCCTCTAGGGTTGCTAGGAGTCAGAATGGACTCAAGAGCAGTACAGTTTGGGTTTGATTTTTTGATTTGGGCATATAATTCTAGAAATAATGGAACAGTTATAAGATATCGGCAAAATTTCTAAGAGGAAATGAAAGGAATGTTGACTTTTGGGAGAGTGAAGTCTCCATACTTTGAAAAGTCCTTATTTATAAAACAGATACTGAGTACATAAGGAGTCCTGGTGTGGCGCCATAGGATAAGCACTGGACCTCAAGGTCAATGTGAACCACAAGTTCGCTGATGCAAACTCACTAGCCGCTCCATGAAAACCCGACACAGGGTCACTATGGGTCGGAACTGACTCTGGCATTTAATAACAAAACAATAAAATGAGTAAGGGGTCTGGAAGTCAGGGAATTAAAGTGGTTACTGGTTGCTGTTTCAGCATCTGGTAGAAGCAAGCCCAAATACTATCTGAAAAAAGTAATCTCAGTCCAATAGTCTCCATCTTCTAAATAATTCAGTTCAGTTGAACATGAGTTTATACACACACAATCAATACATATATTACCATGTATTCAAGTCAGCAGAAAAAGCAGTCATAGATGAGAGCCCTATCAAACTTCAGATTTTAGAAGACATTTAAAAAAAAAAAAAAAGGTACGCTCTCATTTTTAGATGATAGGAAATGACCAGTTGAATTTGAATATTTGCCAGCTATTTATTGAAATGGAAAGTATTTTCAGAAAAAGAAACCACACTGCTCATTTGTTGAGTGTCTCATACTTTTAACATATATTCGTGTCTCATGCTTCAGACGTATTGTCAGGTGCCGTTGAGTCAGTACTGACTCATCATGACCTCTTGTGCAACAGAAAAACACACTGCTCAGTCCAACACCAACCTCACAATTGTTGCTGCACTTGAGCCCATTGTTGTGCCATTCCATCTCATTAGGGGTCTTAATGGATGTTTTCAGCTGTTACTCTATATTTTGAGTTGTGCCCCATCAGCAATTGAAGGTCTCGAAAGCTTTATTCCATTCACCTCATCACAGCCAACAATTCTGTGAGGAAGCAGTTCTTCCTCAGTTGTATTTTGAGTGACTTCCCAACCATGAGGAACTCATCTTCTGGATCTGGATCTGACAATGTTCTAGTGATTTTCATCTTGTTTCAGTAGTCAATATTCTGGTGCTATCTGACAGTGTTAGCTGCTCTTCATAAGGTTTTCAGTGACTAAATCTTCGGAAATCTTTTTCTCCTTTTTCCTAGTCTGTCTTAGTCTGGAGGCTCAGCTGAAATCTGTCCACCATGGGTGACACTGCTGGTATTTAAAACACCAGTGACATAGCTTGCAGTATCACAAGAACATGCAAGGTACCATAGTGGGACAAACTAACAGACAAGTGGTGGAAAGTAGTCTTGTTGTTAGGTGCCATCGAGTCAGCATCGACCCATAGCAACCTTACACACAGCACAAGACACTGCCCGATCCTGGGCCAACCTCACTATTGTTGCATGCTTGAGTCCATCAAGGCTGCCACTTGGCCAATCCATCTTGTTGGGGGTCTTCCTCTTTGTCGCTGACCCTCCAACTTAACAAACATGATATCCTTCTCCAGTGACTGGTCCCTCCTGAAAATATGTCCGAAGTATGAGAGACAAGTTTGGCCATCTTGGCCTCCAAGGAGCACTCTGGCAGCACTTTTTCCAAAATGGAAAGCCCATGGCACTTTCAATATTCTCCTCTAACACCATAACTCAAATGCATCAATTCTTCTACGGTCTTCCTTATTCACTGTCCAGCTTTCACATGCATATGAGGTTATTGAAAATACCATGGCTTGGTTCAGGCGAACTTTAGTCCTCAAGCTGACATCTTTGCTCTTCAACACTTTAAAAAGGTCTTGGCAGCAGATTTGCTTAATGCAATACATTGTTTGATCTCTTGACTGCTACTTCCGTGAGTGTTGATAGTTGATCCAAGGAGAATGAAGTCCTTGATAGCTTCAGTCTTTTCTCCATTGATAAGAATGTTGTTTATTGGTCCAGTGCTGAGGATTTTTGTTTTCTTGACATTGAGATGTAATCCATACCAAAGGCTGTGCTTTTTGATCTTCATCAATAAATGTTTTAAGTCCTCTTCACTTTCAGCAAGCAAGGTTGTATCATCTGTATATTGTAAGTTGTTAATGAGTCTTCCTCCAATCCTGATGCCATGTTTTTCTTCATAGAACCTAGCTTCTCAGATGATTTGCTCAGCATACAGGTTGAATAAGTATGGTACAATAACACAACCTTGTCGCACACCTTTCTTAATTTTAAACCACTCAGTGTTCCCATGTTCTGTTTGAAAAACTGCCTCTTGGTCCAGGTACAGATTCCTCATGAGCACAATTAAGTGTTCCAGAATACTCATTACTTCGCATTGTTGTCCATAGCTTGTCATGATCCACACAATCTAAAGCCTTTGCATAGTCAATAAAGCACAGGTAAACATCATTCTGATATTCTCTGCTTTCAGCCAAGATCCATTGGACATCAGCAATGATATCCCTTGTTCCACGGCCTCTTCTGAATCTGGCTTGAACCTCTGGAAGTTCTCTGTCATTGTATGATTATAGCCATTTCTGTATTACCTTTAGTAAAACTTTACTCTCATGAGATAGCAAACAGATTGTCCAATGATTTCCACATTCTGTTGGGTCATCTCTCTTTGGAATGGGCACAAATATGGATCTCTTCCAATCAGCTGGCCAGATAGTTGTCTTCCAAATTTCTTGGCAGAGATGAGTGAGTGCCTCCTGTGCCACCTCACTTTCTTGAAAGATTTTCAATTTTCATTCCATCAATTCCTGGTGCCTTGTTCTTTGCCAGTTCCTTCAATGCACCTTAGACTTCCTCCTTCAGTATCGTTGGCTCTTGATTATATGGTACCTCTTGAAATGGTTGAACATTAACCATTGCCTTTTGGTACAGTGACTCTGTGTATTCCTTCCATCTTCTCTTGATGCTTTCTGCATCATTCAACAATTTGCCCAGAGAATCTTTCAATAATGAAAGTCAAGCGTTCATTTTTGTCTTCAGTGCCCCCAGCTTAAGAAATGCTGAGTGTGTTCTTCCTTTTTGTTTTTCTGATTCCAGATCTTTGTACATTTCTTTGTAATATTTAGCTTTATCTTCTCTAGCTGATTTTTTGAAATTTTCTGTTCAGCTCTTGTACCTCCTCATTTTCTTCATTTGCTTTAGCATCTCTACACTACTAGAAAGTTGTCTAGTATTGGTTATTATTGATGAGTTGTTGTTAAGTGCCGTTGAGTCGGTTCTGACCCATAGTGACCCTGTATAGGGTTTCTGAGGAGCAGCTGGTGAAATTGAATCACCGACCTTGCAGTTCAAACAGCTTTGCAGTCTGGCCTATTAACCCACAGCACCACATGTAGGTGGGAGAAAAAGAAAATGGACAAATAAAGCAAAATATTTCTTTTGCAAAGCAGGTAAAATATATATAATGTGTAAACCTTGAGCTTTGAATGAGACACAGATAAATAATACCCAGAGAACTGAGGAATAGTCTTCTTGCATCACAAGCTCTGTGTACTTCTTAAATTTTACCATGTAAAATATATTACTTTGTTTAATAATTTAAAGAACTGACAAACCAAAGACAAACTTTGAGAATTTACATTTGCTATAAAATATAAACTGTTCTACACAGATGTGATGGTAGATGTTGTTATTGGTTACAAGGTACTATCGAGTCGATTCGGACTCACAGCACCTCTGCACCACAGACGGAAACACTGCCAGGTCCTGCACCATCTTCCCGGTTACTGTTCTGTTTCAGCCCATGGTCACTGTCACTGTGTCAGTCCATGTCATTGAGAGTCTTCCTCTTTTTTGATGACCCTCCATTATGGTAGATGATGGTCTAACATGATTGTCTTGGTAAAAAGTAATCATCCTGTGAGATTTCTTCCACTGCGCTGTGTTTTAACTTCAGTGTTTCATTTCATGAATTCTTTTGGGTACATACCAGGATAATTCGTAATCTATAGGATATATTTTTAAGTTGAAAATTCGTTTCTTAGCAAGTGATTATCCAAGAATTTTACTTTATTTTTAAGTTTCTAGTGCCTGAGCTTTTAAGCCTAGCAAAGTCCCCAACAGTAGACTGAAAATCATATTGAAAAATTGTATTCATAGAAATCTGCTACCAGAACAACTTTTCCAGAATTGTGTGCAGAGTATTGATAACATTACTGAATTTATTTATCAATAGTCTATTTTCACTTTTTTGAGTAGCTGTTAGTTTAATAGTCTAGTTTTCTATAGTTTACTAATAATTATACTTCTGATTTCTTTTTATTTTCTTTTAAAACTCAAAGTTTTAAATGTTGACAAACCTAAGGTACAGAGCTGGGTGACTCTTCTTGTACAGTTTATTAATGTTAAAGATGTTTGGATGTATATGTGTGTTTTTTCCTTAGGCAAATCAAGAGCTTGAAGCACTAGAAGAAGAAATGTTGCAGATGCAAGAATCGACTCATCTGTTTGAAGTGCCTCTTCCAGAGTACAAGCAAATGAAGCAGTGTCGTAAAGAGATAAAATTGCTCAAGGGACTCTGGGATGTCATTGTTTATGTTAGAGTAAGATGGTGCTTTTTGAACGCATGCTATTTTTTCTCTTGTTCTCTTGTAACAAACATACAATTTTTAGAATCTATGCCATTCTACAGGAGTGCAGTAGCTCTGTGGGATAAGTACTGGACTGCAAAATGACAAGGTCAGCAGTTAGAGCCCACCAGCCCATCTGAGGAAGAAAGACAGGCTTTCTGCTCCCACAGAGATTTACAGCCTCAGAAAACCCTACACAGGGTCGCTATGAGTTGGAACTCACTAGATGGCACTTAACAACTACAACAAATCTGTTAGCAGAAGATTTTTCTCTAAATAAGTTATTTTTGTTTTTAGTTCACAATCAGACTTTGCAGAATGAGTTAACCTCAGACTTTTTGGGCAGGTTATATAGACTATAAATAAAAATTGGTATGTGTACATGTCTTGTACATTTATTGAATTGAAAATTCATATTTGCATATATAAACAGACCCTTACTAAGCATGGTACTTTGAATATGGTTAAATTAAAAACTTAAGTATAATAAGTTCTAGAGAACTCAGCATATTGCAACAAGTATTATACATAACTGTTTTTGAGATATGTTGAAAGTCACATGGAAATATATTAGCAAAATACAGAATTTGGTCAAGAAATAATTCATGAGAGTTTTGCTAATGGATGAAGATTATCTTGAAAGAGCTTATATTATTTGTAGAATTATAAAACTGCTGTTTAATACTACTGTCCTTACTAGTGTATTCCAAGTATATAGGATTTAATGATCCTGAGGGGCAGTGTATGGAATCTGTCATTGTGACTAGAAATTAATATCTAATAATGGTTTGGCCTTCAGTTTGACATGTTATGACAACTTTCTTGTTTTGGCAATAAGGATGCTTTGATGAGTGCAGTTAATATTTAAAGAATTGACTTCCTCTGGATGATAGACTCACTGTGTATCATCAGTTTACATATTTTGCAGTGGAGACTTGCTTCCACCAAATGTTGTTGACATTTTTATCTGCTTGTGCGGTTTCAGAGAAGCATTGATAATTGGACTAAAACCCAGTGGAGACAGATTAATGTGGAACAGATGGATGTAGAACTCAGAAGGTTTGCCAAGGCAAGTTCCATAACTGTCTATTACAACAATTTATCTTCCTCAGCACCACCTCCTCGCATCTTCTCTAACCTAGTATTTGGTATACTAGGCTGCCTGTCCTTGTTGACTTCACACAGAATGACAGGAGACAGGATGTGCATATATATTTTTTCACTCTCAGCCAATTGCACTTCTAATCAAGCCTACCTTTCTGTGAATGAGTTAAGTTACTAAGAACATATTGTTGCTGTTAAGTGCCGTCAAGTCAGTTCTGACTCATAGCAACCCTGTATAGGGTTTCTGAGGAGCAGTTGGTGAATTTGAACCACCGACCTTGAGGTTCAAATTGACCTTTAGATCGAGTGCTTATCCTATGGTTCCACATTGATGGTGGTTATGTGCCGTGGAGTCGTTTCTAACTCATAGCGATCCAGTACAGGGTTTCCGAGGCTGTAAATCTTTATGGGGACAGAAAGCCTCATCTTTCTCCTGTGGAACAGCTGGTAGTTTCGAACTGTTGACCTTGAGGTTTGCAGACCAATTCGTAACCACTATGCTACCAAAGCATCTTAGGGCTAATGAATTTATGAATGACAACTCCTGGTGTGGTGCTGTAGGATCAGCCCTGGACTATGAATAACAAGGTTGGTGGGTCAAACCCACCAGCTTCCCCTTGGAAACCCTATACAAGGTCAGTAGGAGTCAGAATTGACTGGACAGCACTTAACAACATCAACAGCTCTTATCAGGAATTTCTTGAGACTGTTTAGAATAAAGGGGAGGATTACAAATATCAGGGCTGAGAGGTTAGGCCAATGAAGCTTTTGAAGGAGAAGTCCTTAGCAATCATAGCATTTTGTGTTTGAAAAGGTATCTTCGGTTCTGCAATTTAGGATAACTAATAGGAGTCCTGGTGTGGCACTGTAGGATAAACACTGGACCAAAAGGTTGGTTTGAACAGCAAGATCAGTGGTTCAAACTCACCAGCTGCTCCTCAGAAACCCTATACAGGGTCGCTAAGAGTAAACTAACTTGATGGCACTAAACAACCGAATAGGAGTAGACATATAGGGAATATTATTGAATATGTGGAAATATATGGAATACTGTGATCTTTTTCTAATTATTGACCACTCCAGAACGAAGCTTACTTGAGGGGTGTGGTGGCTTTGTAGGGAAAGCACTGTGGGTTTGAGCCCATCAGCTGCTCTTAGGGAGAAAGTTGAGGCTTTCTGCTACTGCAAAGATTTACAATCTTGGAAACCCTATATAGGATCGCTATGAGTCAGAACTGAATCGACAACACTTAACAACAACAAGCTTATTTGTTGTTAATTGTTTTAGTGCTGTTGAGTTGGTTCCGACTCAGAACAACCCTGTATAGGGTTTCTGAGGAACAGCTGGTGAGCTTGAACCACCGACTTTGAGGTTCAAACCCACCTTTCAGTCCCGTGCATTATTCCACATCATGTTACATAGCCCCCATTGCCATATGCTCTCTGAAGAGACTTGAATTTCTTTGGAAAAAGCCAAAATGCAAGCCAGTGAAATGCTAAGAAGGTGCAAGACCTTTTGTTTTTTCTCGCCCCACAGCCATTTCCTCTAACCTGTTTTTCATCCCTGTGCTTAGCTACTACCACTCTTCTTGTATCTTCTTTCCATATAATCCTGGTTCCAAAATTCAGTTAAAATGTTCCTTCTTTCTGTGCATTTACTTATTTTATGGGGTGACTGTACCTCATTTCTACCCTCACTCTCCATTTATCTTGGTACCATTTACTTAGCTTCAAAGTGAGAATGTAATGCCTGCTATCAGCTGAGGCTCTTTTATTTTTTAAGCAATTGGTATTGGCTTTTTCTTTGTGCCAAGATCCATTTGTTTTATTACGAGTTTTCTCATTCACAACTGTTAATGTTCCATGAGCCAAAAGACCCAGCAAGTCACTGGGTCTTAAGATCATAAAATATTTACATTGCAAGGAGCTAAACCAAAGGTAACCCATAAGTCAAGGCTGCCATTTCAGTGAGACAGATATTGAGACAAAGATTTTAGTAATCCAGTTAAAAGTCTCAGTTTCTCATGTGCTTATATTTCTTCAGGACTCTCTCTTGACTGTGTCTGTCCTGTGAACATCATTGCTTACCTGCATATTATGTCCCCTGGGTTTCTGGATGAGACAGTGATTGGACCCTCTGAATAAGAACATATTGTATCCTATTGGCTTGTCCAAAGTGGTCTTGTGATATCTCAATGAGTGAACCCATGTCTGTTTTTCTCGTTTTAGTCTTTTACAAGGAGTTTAAATATTTTTACTTCCTTTTT